GCTCCACCACCAGCTAGCTCCACCACCAGCTAGCTCCACCACCAGCTAGCTCCACCACCAGCTAGCTCCACCACCAGCTAGCTCCACCACCAGCTCCACTCGACTCCCTCGACCATCTCCGCGGCCTGGGCCCGCCCCCTCCGCCTGGCGCCAGACCGCGGAGCACCGATCGGCTCGATGAGCGGGGGCGCTGCTGCGGCGGAGCGGCCGACGCCGGGTCTGCGCCCACTGTCTCCCCCTCCCCGCTTCTTCCTGCGCTTCCCACTCCTTCCCCCGCCCTCCCAGCGCTGCCCGCCCCGGAGAGCGGCCCGGAGCTCCCCCGGAGACTCAGGTACTGGCGCCGGCCGTCCCGACGGGAGGGGCTGATGTGAGGAGGAAGGAAACGGAGACGACGCCCCTGTTCCGCCGCCTCCCAACGTCCGCCTTGGGCTGCGGGACCGGCCTGGGGGTGGAGGGGGCCGGGGAAGGACCCCAGACTGGGGAGCCTGGATGCGGGCCGGGAGTCGTGGAGGACGACCAGGACTGGGGTGTGCGGATGTGGGGGGCGGTTGAGGGGGAGAAGAAAGGCAATTGAAGGGTGCTCGCGGGAGACGGAAAGAGAACAGTGGAGGGCGTGGGGCGGGTTTGGGAAGAGTGGGAGGTAGCCTGGAATGTGAGTGGGTATCTTGGGGTAGAAAGGACCAGAGTTAGGAGCATCAGATGTCGGGGGACGTGGCCTGGTGCGACAGATTGGGGGGGGGCGAGTTTAAAGTCACGGGAGAAAGAACGCCAACCCTGCTGCGTTTATAATGACCGGAAGGTGAGGTGAATCATTATAGTTTGACAGTTTTTATGAATAACATCTTCAGGCTGTGCCCATCCAAGTCACGTATTTCCGTGAAACTGCACCAACCAAGACTGGTGATGGAGATGAGGAAGAAGAGTCAGAAAGGGAATGGAGGCCGGGAAAAGGGAAACCTCTGCCCAGATTCAAGCTTCTTGTGAAACGAAATACATGGGGGGGTTAGTCTTCTGTGTAAAGCAAAAAAGAAGCCAACACTATTAAACAACAGGTTAGAAGTGTATTACATGTATAGACTTTGAATAGAGAACTTAAACTGCCTCTTCAAAAAATACACACGAGATTGTAAACATATGATGATGAGATAAGCATATGGCGATGTGACTTTTTTAAATGAATTATATATTGCTGTTCAACTCTCAGTGTTGAAATACATCATGAAAGCTCTCTTATTTACGTATGTACCCACACACAAATCCCCGAATTCATGTGTATTTTTTGCAGGAGAAATTTTAGGTAGAAATATATGCCTCATTTCTGAGTATTCTTTTTTTTTTACTAGTTGTTTGGCACAAATCATCAGTTGCTCTGTGGTTCATCAAGCACAGTTAATCTTGCTTGATGCTTTGCTGATGTCTTTTCTGTTTGTCAGACACTGGTTTCTTGCCTTCAAGAGGCTGATCCTTGGATTATAGGACCTGATGATGGGGTTTGCTCATCATTAAACTTGTAGCTTGACTGTGTATTTCATAAAGATGTAAGTCTGCCTGTTTTTTGCCGTAGGGTATTAAAGCAGCCCCTTTGTTGGGTTTAAAATATAAATAATAATGTGCGGGTATAATTGAAAAGCCCAGATTTTTCAGTTGCTTCCTTTGTGATCTGTTTTTTTTTCCTGCATGCTATAACATTTCTGCGTGAATGAATTACTCTGAAATCAAAGTATGAGGAATAAAATGGGCCAGATGTATGTGACAGAAATATCATGGAATAAAGAACTCTAGAGCTGTTACTTAGGTAGCAAGTATTTGGTTTTTGTTACAAGTGGTTAAGTTTCTGGTTTGGAAGCATTTCTTATCAAAGAAAACTATAAATTTGTTTTGATAGGAGGCCCTAAAATATTACTTTTATTTGGTTTATGAAACTGGACTGTGGGCTTGTATATAATATTAGCCAGCAAACTGATGTCTAATTATACTTAAAGATCTTAGAGTTGTTTCTTTTTGTGAAAAGGGGAAGAGGGCTGTTGGGTTGTTACAGAGAAGTGGTCTTTCTAGAACAGAATAGGTTCTGTTAATTTAATATTAAAACTGATCATGGATAGCCATTGATTAACTTGAGCCTGTGTTTCTGCTATTTTAATCAGTAGAGTGACTGTTAGTTACTTATCTTTACTAAGCCTTAGTTCTTAGCTTCTTAGAGCCTACTTTAAAGGAGTGTCATAAAGACTAAAAGAGGGGCGCCTGGGTGGCTCAGTCGGTTAAGCGGCTGCCTTCGGCTCAGGTCATGATCCCAGCGTCCTGGGATCGTGTCCCGCATCGGGCTCCCTGCTCTGCGGGGAGCCTGCTTCTCCCTCTCCCTCTGCCTACTTGTGTTCTCTCTCTATCTCTCTGTCAAACAAATAAATAAAATCTTTAAAAAAATAAAAAATAAAAAAATAAAGACTAAAAGAAAATGCATGTAAATCACTGAGCACAGTGCCTACCACATAGTAAAAGATTCAGTACCTTAGCTATTCTCATTTTTCATCTATCTTCTAATCTAAGATACTGAAAACTCAAATTTGCATGTCAGCTTTTTCTCAAGAAAATTTGAATAAACTGCATACTGTGCCCATCCAAGCATTTTCCTGGAAAATCACAATGCATATTAGCATATAAAAAGCTATGAGACGTTCCTGTAGCAATAAAATAAAAACAAAACCAAAAACCTGGCTCTGTTTAACCCACTACTTACTAAACTTGTCCCTTTTCTTGGAGCCTAGTGCTGTGCTTTGGAATAGGATGTTATAACTTCTAGAATATTTTTGCATGTATTACCTGATTTGACCATCTCAACTCCATGCAGAAGCCTAGAAATCACTATTTTATAGATGAAGAAACTGAATCATTGTTTAATCAACTAACTAAAAATGCGAAAACTAGGAGTGTTCTGCTGTCTTCTGATTCCAGATTAAAATCTTAAAGCATTTAATGTCTCATTTTCTCCTAATTTCCCCCTCCTAAGCAATCTGCTCTTGAATTTTATAAAAACTTCCACTAATTTCCCCCACATGTTCTCTTTTAAAAGTTACATCCATTTTCTTTTTTTTTCTTTTTTAAAGATTTTATTTATTTATTTGACAGAGAGAGACACAGCGAGAGAGGGAACACAAGCAGGGGGAGTGGGAGAGGGAGAAGCAGGCTTCCCGCACCTGATGGAGGGCTCCATCCCAGGACTCTGGGATCATGACCTGAGCTGAAGGCAGGCGCTTAATGACGGAGCCACCCAGGCGCCCCAAGTTACAACCATTTTCTCATAGTTTTAACTATTTTTTATGTATTGAGGCCTGGCATGGAGGACAGGATCACCCGGAATGAAGCAAGAGGGAAGGCAGTAAAGTCCGAGAAATGAAGGAAGCTCCTTCATACAAGGCCTTGAACACTATTGAAGTAATTTAGCTTCTACCCCAAAGTCTCAAATCCGATGAAATTTATTTTCTCTTCAAGGTGGTGAATACTTACTCTGCTGGGAAAGAGAAGAGTACTTCTTGAGTAAAAAGTATGCCTCCCAAGTTCAAGCGCCACCTAAATGATGATGATGTCACTGGTTCTGTGAAAAGTGAAAGGGTGAGTTTAGAATCTTATTTTTTCAAACAGAGTCAAAATATGTGTTCATTCCTTTTGTAAATAATTTGTTTTAGAAAAATCTAAAGTTTATGGCTATATTCTAATTCTGTTTTTTCTTCATAGTAAATATTTTAAAGTATATATTACTCAGATGGGTGACTCAGTTGCATTCTACTTCCACTATTGATCAAATTATACTCACAGTTTTTTCTAGTCTTTCAAAGTGAATTTTATACAAATACACAGCATCTTATTCAGAATTCTGGAACCAAATATGGTTGGAATTCAGAGTTTTTCAGATTTTAAAAAGGTAGTTAAGTGCATATTATATAATAGGCTTTTTGGCCTCTGGAGCAGCACCTCTAAGTATATTAGTATTTCTCAGAAATGTCTGATTATGAGGGGCCTGGGTGGCTCAGTCGGTTAAGCGTCCGACTCTTGATTTCGGCTGAGGTCATGATCTCAGGGTTGTGAGATAGAGCCCCGAGTTGGGCTCTGCTGCTGGGTGTGGAACCTGCTTAAGAGTCTCTCTTTCCCTCTCCCTCGCTAAAATAAAAAGAAAAGAAATATCTGATTACTCTAAGTATATAAGTAAAGTGTATAAATAAATTAGCTAACATCAATTCAGGTCAGGTTTTCCTCCAAATAAGTTTTGGCTCCAAACTTACAAAACTTCTTGGTTTTCAGAATTTCTTAAATTTTTGGAATTGTAGATAAAGGATGTTAGTTCTATAATTGTCTCGGAGTCCAGAGTAGTTTTTATATAACATTCAATTTCTAATTTATCCCAGAACATTATTTTTTTTTTTTTAAGATTTTATTTATTTATTTTAGAGAGAGCACAAGTTGGGGGAGAGGCCGATGGAGAAGCAGGCTCCACACTGAACAGGGAGCCCGAAGTGGAGCTTGATCCCAGGACCCTGGGATCATGACCTGAGCTGAAGGCAGACACTTAACTGACTGAGACACCCAGGTGTCCCTATTCCAGAACATTCTGTGCAGATATGTATAAATCTAGAAGTTATGCAGAATTTTGGAAGACAACATTTGATAGGAATGTTGTAAATAGATTACTTTTAGAGTAAGTACTCAAGAAATATTTACTGAGGAAAGGAATTAGTGTTTTTCTTTTTTATCCAGCAACCTGAAACCCTCTCTCACTTCCTATCTCATTATTATTCCTTTATTTACTGATGCATTTATTCACCACCTGCTATTGTGCTAAAAACAATCTCTGCCTGTATAGAGCTTATAATCTACTTGACTTCATTTTACACATTCCTTTTTTGTACAGGTTCTGAACTCATATTATTCATTCTTTCCAACAGCTTATGATTTAAAAGTATCTTTTAGTACAATACAGGAAACATTTGTCTTTTCCTTATTCTAACTCTCTCTAGTTTGTTTTTTACTTGAAGGGGGTAGAATCCACCAATAGACTAATTGCTAGGAAGCTTTTTAAAATAAGCTTTATGTATATACTTAAAATTATAAAATATAGTCTTAATCAGTTCCGCTGCTGAAAGTGTAACTGTGGCTCTTTCTCTTTACATTGTTGGTTGATTACTACCACAATTTATTGTAAAAATAGGATATTGAACCAAAATTGAACAAAATTGGCTGCTTAGAGACCTCCTTTTGAATGTTTATCAGATGGTGAAATTTGATAACTGATTGATTCTAATATCTATAAATTACTTTTAAAATTTTTTTTAAGTTTTATTCTACTTTCCTGTTCCATTTTTCTTAGTAACAGCTTTATTGAGATATTCACATGCCATACAATTCACTCTTTTAAAGTGTACAATTCAAATGGTTTTTAGTTTATTCACAGAATTGTGCAACTATTACCACAGTCAGTTTTAGGACATTATCATCATTCCAAAAAGAAACCCTGTACCTTTTAGCATTCATCCCCCGTTCTTCTCATCCCCTCAACCCTAGACAACCACCAATCTATAGATTTGTCTACTCTGGACATTTTATATAAATGGAATCATACAATATGTTGTCTCTGTAATTGGCTTTTTGGATTTAGATCCTAATGTTTTTGAAGTTCATGCATGTTGTGACATGTATCAGTACTTCATTCCTTTTTATTGCTGAATAATATCCCAGTATATGGATATATCACATTTACCCATTCATCACTTGATGGACATTTGGGGTTTTTTGGAATATTAATGACTTTTTGCATACCACTTCTGGCTGTTGGCTTTTTGGCTATTTGACTATTAAGAATAGTAGTGTTGTTGGGGCTCCTGGGTGGTGGAGTCAGTTAAGTGACTAACTCTTGGTTATGGCTCAGGACATGATTTCAGGGTCATGAGATCAAGCCCTCCTTTTGAGCTCCACACTCCCCATGCATGGAGTCCGCTTAAGACTCTTTCCCCCTCTTACTCTGCCCCTCCCCCCTCCCCACGTTTATGCACACACACTCTCTCTCTCTCTCTAAAAAATAAATAAAATCCTTAAAAAAAAAAAAAAAATTAGCCATGCTGGGGTGCCTGGGTGGCTCAGTCAGTTGAACATCCGACTCTTGATTTCAGCTCAGGTCATGATATCAGGGTTGTGAGATCGAGCCCCACATTGGGCTCCACTCTGAGCATGGAGCCTGCCTGAGATTCTCTCTCTTCCTCTCCCTCTACCTGCCCCCCCCTCCTGCACTCACACTCTCTCTTTCAAATCTTTAAAAAAAAAAAAAAAAGAATAGCAGTGCCATGAATATTCACATACAGATTTTTACGTGAACATGTTTTCATTTCTCTTGTGTGAATACTTAGGACTGGAATTGCCAGCTTAGTTATTATGTTCAACCTTTGGAAGAATTGCCAAATTGTTTTCCAAAGTGGTTGCACAATTTTTACATTCCCACCAGCAGGGTATGTGGATTCCACTTTCTCCACATTTCTCCTGCCAGCCAGTTTCTCCTCATCACCAATTTCTCCTCATTAATTTGGTTGTTTAATGCTTTTGTCCTAAAATTCATCTTTGTATTAATATTGCTAACCCTAACATTCTTTTCATTAGAATTTGCTGATGTGTTTTTTTCCACCTCTTTTCTTCATCCTTTGTTTGACATTCGTTTTAGGTGAATTTTTTGTAAACAGATTTGGCTGGAATTGTTGGACTCTAATCATGTGTAATTTTTACTTTTAATAGGAGAATTCAAACCATTCACATTTGTTATAATAACTAATATATTTGGGCTTTTTCTGTCTTAGCCAGTCCCTCTGCTGGCCGTGAATGCCCTTCCCCCTGATCTTTGGTTGGCCCTTTGTTATCATTTGGATCGCAGCTTAAATTTCACTTCTTGAGAGTGATTTTCCATGACAACCTAATCTCATTTAGTCACCCTGTCACTTCCTATCCTGTCAGTGTTTCAGTTCTCGGCATAGCATTTGTCACCATCAGATATTTTTCTATGAGAGTTCAGACTTTGTCTGTCTTGTTCAAACCTGGTGCTTGCCTAGAACGGTGCCTAGCACATAGAAGATGCGCAAACATGTTTATTAAATGAATGTTAAATATATCCTGTTTTCATTTTCTCACTCTCTGTGATAATGTTATATATTATACATAGATATAGTTTATTAGATTTCATATGTTTTCCCTGTTGCCCTGACTGCTTTGGCAGATTGATTGTTTTTCCTCATCTTCTCCCCAACCCCAGTATCACTAGTTAAAAAATGTCCTTCCTTTCTCCCTCTCCCCTTTTTTTATTAACTTCATATTTTAGCAGTTATGTTTAGGGATGCCTGGGTGGCTCAGTCGGTTAAGCCTCTGCCTTCAGCTCAAGTCAGATTCCAGGGTCCTGGATCCAGCCACATATTGGCCTCCCTGCTCATCGGGGAGACTTCTTCTCCCTCTGCCCCTCCGCTGGCTCATTCTCACTCTCTCTCTAAAATAAATAAAATCTTAAAAAACAAACAAAAAAAACAAAAAAAAGTTATGTTTAAATCTTTAAATCTGCGTTCTCTGTCAACATATCCAAAACAATGCCCCCTCTGTTGTTTTACTTTCTCATTCTAGCCAGCTTCCCGCCTCCACCACTCCTGTCCCCGGTGAGGTGCGCCTCTCACTCTTCTGCACTTCACCCTTCCACTCCCGCTTCTAGGTTGTATTTGAACGATTTGGGGCCCCTTTTAAAGTTTTTCCTTATACCTTTAAAAAAACAAAAACAAAAACCCTAACACTGGATATTTTTTTATTTTTTTGGTTTTTTTAAAGATTTTATTTATTTATTTCACAGAGAGAGACAGCGAGAGAGGGAACACAGCAGGGGGAGTGGGAGAGGGAGAAGCAGGCTTCCCACTGAGTAGGGAGCCCGATGTGGGGCTCAATCGCAGGACCCTGGGTTCCTGACCTGCACTGAAGGCAGGCGCTTAACGACTGAGCCACCCAGGTGCCCCAACACTGGATATTTATTGTTGCTTTTATACAAAATATAAATGAATAATAACATTAAATAAAAGTAAATGTGTAACATTAAAGGGAATGATAACCAACACTTTCCGGGTAGTGATGCCTCTTGGGTAGAAGAGGAGGTGAAGATTAGGGAAAGGTCCATCGGAGTCTTCAATGTTAGTATTACGTTTAATTTCTTAAGCCAGACGTTGGCCTTGTACCTTTTCTTTTTCAATAGCTATAAGATATAGTTCACAATCACATTATCATTTATTATTATTGACCACACATTTTATTAGAGTCAATGATTGTATCAATCTCTGTCTTAGAATGTTTCTTCTGATAATAATTGGGGTTTTTTGGCTGGTGAAATTCCTTGAGTAATTTTCTCAGAAAAGGCACATAGGTGGTGTATTTGTTTCCTATTGCTGTTGTAACAAAGTACCGCAAACTCAAAACAACATAGATTTACCATCTTCTAGTTCTGGTGACCAGAAGTCCAAAGTGGGTCTTCCTGGGCTAAAATCAAGGCTCTGGCAGGATGTGTTCCTTCTGGAGGCTCTAGGGGAGAATCTAGTTTCCTTGCCTTTCCCGGCTTCTAGAGGCTGCCTGTGGTCTTTGGCTCCCGCTCCTTCCATTGTCTTTAAAGCCTGCAGTGTAAGATCTTCTAGCTCCTCCCTTCCCTACTCTGTCCCTCCTTGCCTTCTCTCTCTCCTTTCTCTCTCTTTCCCGCGCTCTCACTCTGGCACTTCTGCCTTCCTCTTTTGAGAACTCTTCTGATAATGTTGGGCCCACATGAATAATCCCTATTGATCTTACCATCTCACAATTTTTAACTTAAACACATCTGCAGAGTCCCTTTAAGCATGCAAGGAGACATTTTCACAGGTTTCAAGAATTAGGATGGGGATATTTTGGGGAGTTATTATTATGCCTACAAGTTATATACTAAGTTCTTGTATGCTGAAAAGGTCTGGTTGTTGCAAGAGGGTGTGATCATCTTCATATTAAGGAAAATAGTTCCATCTTATAAAATAGAAGTATAAAGGTGTTTTTGTTTGGAAGTTCTAATATGTGTAGAGGGTTATTTATGAACTGTGGAGGTGGTAGGTGGACTGTGCCAATCACTAAACCCTTGTGTCCCAGCTCCGAACCTGTCTTCTGTGCTCCTCTCTGATGCTGGAGTTGGCTCTGCAACTACATTTCTCCTTTGCTACCTGGCTCCCTATTAGATTCTGCCTGTAGAGAGAGATTGGAAAGCAAGAGGAAGGAGAAGGGACTTAACTTCTTCCTGATTGCCTACAGTTCCTTATTCCCACCCTGGCTTCAGCGACCTTTCTACCTTGTAGTCAGTCATAGCATCCTGCTATTATAAGCATTTTCTTTGGAGGGTTGGCATATGTGGCTCTTTTAGCTTACGTGAAGTACAGGTAATCACTCTTCCCTCTGTCTGGAACCTTGGAGTAAAGAAATTTCACCAGGATAGAACTTCCTTCATTACTCCTCCCTGACAGTTTGTAAGCCTTCTGAATCTGAAAACTCAAGTCTTTTTTTTTTTTTGACAGAGAAATCTTTTGGAAGATGATTCAGACGAAGAAGAAGACTTTTTTCTGTAAGTTTTTTTTGTTTAACAGCTTTATTGGTGTTGTAGATGTAATTAACATCTAATAAAATGCATATAAAGCATATGAGTTTTGATACATATACTATACACCTGTGAAATCATCACCAAAATCAAGTAATGAGCATAACCATCACTTCAAAAGTTTCCTCATACCCCTTGGGAATCTGTCACTCCCCCAATCCCCAGGCAACCACTGATCTGCTTTCTATCACTATAGTTTGATTTTTCTAGAATTTTTTAAATAAACGGTATCATACAGTATGCCTTTTTTTTTCTGGCTTCATTCACTTTGCATAATAATTTTGAGATTCACCCACACTATCACATGTACCAGTAGTTCCTTTTTATTTCTGAGAAGTATTCCATTATATGAATGTACTACAATTCATTCATCCATTCACTTATTGATAGATATTTGGGGTGTTTATAGTTTTTGCTATCATGAATAAAGCTACTATAAGCATTTATGTACAAATTTTTGTGTAGACTTAATGCTTTCAGTTCTCTTGGGAAAATACTTAGGAGTTAGTTGAGTGGCTAGTATATTTTTACAGCTGTTTTCCAAAGTGGTGTACCATTTTATATTCCCACCAGCATTGTATAAGAGTTCTAGTTGCTCTAAATCCTCATCAATACTATATATGGTCAGTGTTTTAATTTTAGCCATTCTTACAGATATGTTGTGGTATCTCACTATAGTTTTAATTTGCATTTCCCTAATGACAAATCACGTTAGACATCATTTTTTGTGTGTATTTGCCGTCCTCTTAGCTTCTGATAAAGTACATGTTAAAATCTTTTGCCCAATTCTAAATGTGTCTTCTTATTCAGTTGTTTATGTATTCAAGATACAAGTTCTTTGTCAGATATGTTTTACAGATATTTATTTTCAGTCTGTATCTAAATCTTTCCATTTTCATAACAGTATCTTTTGAAGATCAAACTGTTGATTTTGATGAAATTAATTTATTACAAATTTTCTTTGTTTTTGCTTATTTAAGAAATATATGCCAACCCCAAGTTCAATAAGATCTTCTCCTGTATTTTCTTCTAGGAGTTTTATAGTTTTGGCTTTTACATTTAGGTCTATAATCTACTTCAAGTAAATTTTTATATATGGTTGAGGTAAGGGTGAAGAATGGATTTTTTTTTTCTTTTTGGCATATGGCTATCTAGTTGTTCCCCCACCATCTAATGAAAAGATTATCCTTTTCCCATTGAATTGCCATGATACTTTGTCAGTTAATTGATCTGATCAATGCTTCACAGTTATGATTAGAAAGGGCTGTGTTCGTACAGGCCTAGATTTGTATTTGCAAAGTCAGGAAGGCAGGCGTATATTATTGCAGGAGTTTCCTCTGGAGATTCATGTAGAGGGGTGTGCCTGAGGAGAAACATTTGCCTCCCTCTTTGTTATAATGTTGCAGAGTTTTTGTAGAGGCTTTTGCTCCCCCAAATAAAAACATGTTATTAAAAGTAATTGACAGCTGTGAAGAAGTGAACAAAAAAGAGCCTGCCAGATAGGAAGCAGATCCATTAACAGAAAATAGTATCACTTTGGCCAAGGTCAGATGAAGTGGAAAGATAATTTCCTACATGTGACAAGATTTCCGAAGAGTCACAAAGCTCATTGCCACGGTGCCAATTATGGTGAAAAGCCTTAGAACTGGAGCAATAGCTGCCTGTCAGAAAGGAACTTAGGGTTGAAAAGGAGGCCAGAAGCTTAAATAAGTGATTCCCTCATTGAAAGCTGGATACCCTTGTGAGAAACACTCAGTCTTCAGACCAGCAGTGTACCACTGGAAGTCTGCTCGCAAATAACGTACATCTTTCTGAAGGCCTGACATCCAGCGCGCACACTTGCTCAAAATGCAGCTTCCACACACTGCGGTTCTGTCTGGGTGTTGGAGACAAAACAAATACATTTTTTAAAAAATTAATCAACACCCAAGTTTATAGCAGCATTATTACAATAATCAAAAGATGGAGCAACCTAAATGTCCATCAGCAGGTGAATGGATAAACAAAGGGTATATGGATACAGTTGAATATTACTTGGCCTCAAATATTACTCAGTCTCAAAAAAGAAGGAAATTCTCACACATGATACAGTGTGGATGAACCTCAAAGACGTTATGCTAGATGGAAGAAGCTGATCACAAAAGGATAAATTTTACATGATTCCACTTATATGAAGTACCTAGAGTAGATGAATTCATGGAGACACAAAAGTAGAATGGAGGTTGCCAGAGGCTAGGATGAGGAGGAATGGGGGAGTTAGTGTTTAATTGGTACAGATCCTATTTTTTTCTTTTCTAATTTTTAAAAAGTTTTTGTTTTTTATTTTTTAAAGATTTTTATTTATTTGACAGAGAGAGACACAGCGAGAGAGGGAACACAAGCAGGGGGAGTGGGAGACGGAGAAGCAGGCTTCCCGCGGAGCAGGGAGCCCGATGCGGGGCTTGATCCCAGGACCTTGGGATCATGACCTGAGCCGAAGGCAGACACTTAACTACTGAGCCACTCAGGTGCCCCTAATTTTTTTTTTTTTTAAAGTAAGCTCTACACCCAACATGGGGCTCAAACTCACCACCCTGATGAGATCAGGAGTTGCATGCCCTACTGACTGAGCCAGGCACCCAATCCTACTTTTTAAAATTTTTGTGGTTTATGCCTTATTCTCTCAGAAGAATGATAATTACTCAAAACATCCAAAAGTTTTTATTTCCAGAATATTAAAATGGTTGAAATGATATAACACTTAACTAATAAATAATTTGAGAAATGTTGGTATTTTCGTAGACTCTTGGATTTCCCTTTAGCTTTGTTGATAAGTTTAAGATGAGTAACGAAAAAAATACTAGTGTTTTGAATAGTTTTTTCTCTATATCCATTCCTGATAATCAGCATTTTGTGATAACCTAATTCGAAGGTGAATTTACTTTTAGTGTTCTATAATTTCTCATAAAGCTCTTCCTAGTCACTGGCACTTGAGTTGTTATGGTGTTTCAGAGGTTAGTGATTAGAACAACCTGTGTATAAACAAAGGGTTATATAAACCCTATTTTCTCTGAAAATTTTAACATTCAGAAGAATTAGGTTAGTTGTGGCCAGCACCAAGTACCAGTAAAGTACAGATGTGATTAAATATCATTCAGTTCCAGCAATACCAGTAAAATGTGTTTTTTTATAATAAATGACTAATCCATGTTTAGAGTTGCGCTTGATTGTGTGTCTTTTCTATTTTTTTTTTTAATGCTCTCATTATGAATATGTACTTGGTATTTTGTTTTCAGAAGGGGACCATCTGGACCAAGATTTGGACCTAGAAATGATAAAATTAAGCAGTAAGTTCCTGAGATACTCATTTGCTTAAGTGATTATCATATTTCTGTGTGGACCCAGGGTTGGCAGTCTGCAGCCTATGAGCCAAATCTGGTTGCTGCTTATTTTTCTGAATAAAGTTTTATTGGAACACAGCCATGCCTATTTGTTTTCTTATCTATGGCTGCTTTCAGACTACAATGGCAGATTTGAGTAGTTGTGACAGAGACCTTACGGCCCAAAAATCTGAAATATCTATTATCTATCTGGCCCTTTACAGAAAAAATTTGCTGAGCCTTGATGTAGACTAACTATAACTACTGGATTGTAAAAAACCAAATAATTCTTTTTATTTTCACAAAGCTACCTCTGAATAATGGCTAAGGAAATCCAATTCCTGTGTTGGTTTCTCTTAACTTGATTACTTTATGTCAAATCCATTTATTTAGCATAATCTCAAAGTCCATTTTGGTTTTAAATCTATTGCTTGATTCCCATTTTCAGAATTAATAGGAGTAATATAATAGATTTAGTTTTTTGAAGTACAATTTTTTTATATTCCTCCAGAATTTTTTCATATCTGTAACTTATCCTAATTCCTATATTGATCTAAGATTTATAGCTAAGTAATTTTCAGTTTAAAGCTTTTTCTGTATATGTTGGTGGTGGTAGGTTGATGGGTAATGCTGTAGTAAATGTATCCAATGTTAGAAGGATCTGAGTCCCGACAATAAGGGAGAAGGAATGGGAGGAGCAGTGAAATAGCCCTGGAAACTGACCGAGTTTTGAAGACTAACTGTGGACGATAACTAAATAACCTGGATTCAGGATCTAAGGAGGGATAGTCATTATCATCTCATATACATTATCATCTCACATTTTCCATGGGTCCAGGAGTTTGGTCACTGCTTAGGTGGGCCCTCTGCACGGGGTCTCACAAGCCAGAAATCAAGGTGTTGTCTGGGCTGGGATCTCACTTGAAGCTCCTGATGAAGCTCAGGTAGTTGTTGCCAGAATTATTTTCCTTGCACATGTAGAACTCATGGTACCTGCTCCTTCAAGGCCAGCAGAAGAGAGTCCCTGCTGTTCCAAGGCTCTGATATGGCCAGTAAAGATACAAGGAGCTACTTAGATTCAGGCAGTTTATTATGTACATAGACCGTAAAAGGAAGAGTAGCCAATCTCTCTGGGTTCTTGTTCTACACACCAAAAATGATGACTCCAAAACAAAAGGGGCTGCACGGCTACAATAGGAGTTGTAGGATACCCTGTTAAAAAGGAGCCAATTCTGCACTGTAGCTCGGTGGTTTTATAGTCTTCAGATACGGCCTGCAGAAAGCCTCCAAACATCATCAGAACCTGGGAAGTTGTAAGAAATTGTCTTGTGACAGTCTTCAGGGAAATGAGTGGGAGATGGCCTCACAAGCCATTCATCTTTTGTTCTGGGAGGATTAAAAAGCATGCAGGGTCATCAGGATACCATGGCAGAGCTATTTCTCTACCCACATAGTTCTTGTACCTAAACCATCTGGTAAAGAGGACTCCACTGATGACATGCTTGTTTTTTGTCCTGTCAGTATGCTTTGTTTCCTGCCTGATATCCTTCTGCAGAGTGAGCCTAGTACTGAGTACGGCTTATTGAGTCTTCTGAATATGATTTTCCAGATGAACCCAAGCCACTGCTGGTTGTACAGAATGGGCATTGCAAACAAAGTATCTATGTTAGCAAGTGCCAAGCACATGCACACATGAATATGTTTATGTACATATTTAATTAGTACAATATCTTTGGTAATCACAGAATTTTAGAACAGTAAGGGATTATTGAGTAAGTATAATGGTTCTTACTCTAGAGCTAAAGGCTTGCCAGACTTAGAAGGTGATCAGTCATCAAAACATACATATTCAACCTTGTGGGCACAAACTCATAAATGCGTATTTAACCAGAGCATGACTCCGTGTGTGTGCCCAAAATGGCCCAAGATGGTGGAGCACAACCTACCACACAACTTGCCCATGGACAAATACCTTGCATTAGTTGAGTAACCAAAATTGCTGGCACTGGTGAGTTTCTTTAAGCTGTGCTATCACTACTTAGTTTGTAACATTTTAATACAGGGTATTTCTTAACCTCATGGATCAGCAACATTGTTGCTTTGTTTGAATTTGACTGGCATGTTGACACCAGATTATTCCCACAAAAAATACTCAACATCACTTTTTATGGAAGATTTTTTTTGGTGAAAGATTTAAAATATCCACATGCCTATGTAAAATGTAGGATTCTCTTTGGAATGTTTTCTTTGCTTTTAAGTTAAATAACAGCTTTATAAATGCAACTCTAGTGAATTACAGGCATTCTCTGTTAGGGGTAGGTAATTTCCTAACTATAGTCTTGGTTCAATCAGTTTAACTTTATAAAAAGGACCCCAAGGAATGTTCCATGATGCAAGAGAGAGAGAGAGAGAGATATATGTGGTTGCAAAAATACAGCATAACTTTAAACCTTCTTTTGTCAACACTACCTTAAAAAGCCACAAGATGGGGTGTTAACTATGAAAATAAATATTTTCTTTGGAGTATTTGTTGCAGAGCAGGATTTTTTTTTTTCTTAAAAGAAGGGCACTGACATTAAGCACATGCTAAGTGTTAAGCATTGTGCTAAGTGTTTAAAAAACAGTTACATCTAATTCTCACAAGTGAGAGATGAATATTTCCATTTTAAAGGTGAGAAAATAGGAGGCTCAAGGAGGCTTGCAACAGACACTACTATACCATGCGGTCTCCTGTTGATAATTGGAATAGAGACATTTCAGGAATACAGGTGCTGTCAGGCCCTAAGGATGATTTATTTATTT